ATATATATATATATATATATATATATATATATATATATATATATATATATATATATATATAATTTAAGGAAACAGCTTATCAGAGTGCACAAAATAATATGTAAAAACTAGAAATCCCACAACACTTGTTCGAAGAGTAGGTGGATTTTGGGTGGAGCAGAAATGCCAAGCTTAATCTAAAGCCAATACAACGATTGGGAAATACCCAGTGTGTGAGTGTATGCGTGCATGTGTGTGTGTTCAGTACAGGTTCGTGACTAATTGGCCACTTACTCTTCAGCGATGGATTATTTTTCCCAGGTCTCCGTCCCGCGTCTGTCTCTGGACGGCATCGATCACACACATAATCCGATTTCCCCCCAAAACAAATAATGAAGCGTTTCTGGAGCTCCAGCCTTTTAAGTAATTTAGTGATTGGTTCAAACCCGTGCGAATCAATGCGCTGGGTTTTGAAAGATGAGTCTAATGAATTCCCATGATGCTCTAATTTGGCCTTAATGCATCTCAGGCAAATTAAAAGGCACATTTGTGACGCTCAGATAAGCCGGCTGGAGATTTTATCTGAATTGGAGCGCCGTTATTTTGGACTCGTCACAGTAACTGCGCTAATTAGCTTCTCCATCATTTTATTGCGTCTTGGATGAGACTCTGAGACTTGGGGTTCGTCTGCTGTTTTTACATCTAATTAATGCTTTAAGCCAATCAGAAGAGCTTCTGAAAACACACTGAGATCATTGAGTCCACATTGTGTGCTTTATTGATTGGATCATTCATTCATTCATTTTCCTTCGGCTTAGTCCCTTTATTCATCAAGGGTTGCCACAGAGAAATGAACCGCCAACTATTCCACCCGATGTAATACACAACGGATGCCTTTCCAGCTGCAACCCAGTACTGGGAAACACTCATACACAATTATTAAAACACACAGTTATACACTACGGCCCATTTAGTTCATCAATTCCCCTATAGCGCATGTGTTTGGACTGTGGGGGAAACCGGAGCACCCGGAGGAAACCCACACCAACACGAGGAGAACATGCCCAGTCATGTTCGGGACCTGAATCAGCGACCTTCATTCTGTGAATGTGAGAGTATATGGTGTTTTCCAGTACTGGGTTGCTGCTGGAAGGCATAAGAAGAATGAGTTTGTGTTTGTGTGTCTGAGTGAGGGAGTGCGTGTTTGTGTATGTGTGCGAGAAAGTGGGTGAGTGACTTTTTGTGTGAGTCTGAGCTAGCGTGTGTGTGTGTGTGTGTGTGTGTGTGTTTGTGTGTGTTTTGTAGATTCAATTGCTTAATTTACAATGAAACAGAAGTCTGAAAGCTACAGTAGCAATTAATTGTCAATTTAATGAGATATTTAGCTTCATTTTGCTCCATTACTCGTTTAGCAGATGCTTTTATCCAAAGCGACATTCGCTTTTTTTCAGCAGATAAACACAAAAGAAGATATTTTGGTTAATAATCAATTGTGTGGATTTAATGGAGTTAATGAACTTGTTAAAATTAATCTGTTACTGTAGGTCAGAATACACTCAATTCAGGGCTGCCAACTTTTGGCTTTAGCTTGGGGTGAGAATTTATGCCCCGCCCCTATGCCCATACGCCCCGCCCACACCAAACCACGCCCCATTTGTTTATAAATCTATAAAAATTATATATTACTTTAATAAATACTTTTTATAAAATATTTATTATAAATAAAAGTATTATTAATTAATTATTATTCTATTCTAAATAAATAATAAAAATCAATTCTAAATGTAACTGGAAAACGGCGAAAGACTGAAGTGACATACTAAGATCATTTAAGAATTTTTTGCATAAATATATTAATTTATTTGGAATGAAAATCTATAGACAATTGTATAGAACACACAAACACATGTTTTATAGAATGATCTGTGGTGTGTTGTCTTAAACCCGACTCATGGCCAAGAACTAGGTTCATTAAGTCTAAACTCCAAATTGTCCCTTGTGTATGTGTGTGAATGGGTGTATATGGATGTTTCCCAGTGATGGGCTGCAGCTGGAAAGGCATCCGCGGCATAAAACGTGCTGGATAAGTTGGCGATTCATTCCACTGTGGCGACCCCAGATTAATAAAGGGACTAAGCAGAAAAGAAAATGAACGAATGAAGTCTAAACTCCCTGACCTCATCCCTCCTTTCTGCTTCATGCAAAAAACAAAAAAACTTTAAGGAGCCATTAGTCAAAATAAGATCATCATATTGTTTAAACTTTAGACTTGCAAAACTCACTGCATGCTGACACCTGTAGCCTGTTACCCCTGCATAAAATGCACCCCCTCTAAAATATGCATCTAATAACTGAAAATTGATACAATCTTTTTAATAACACAGTTAACTCTTGCCTTACAGAAGACTGAAAGTTCTAATGAAAGTCTATGAAAGGGGTGCATTTTACGGCAGGGGCCCGTTTCTCAGCACAGCACAAGGCATTAGTGGCATGTGAGCAGCGCATATTTATTTGACATGAATGTTTACAACTGGGATTCATACCTGGAGCGGTAACGCGAGCAGCACAAGCAGGAGTGACACGAGAGGCGCACAGGCATGCCATTTGCGAGCTTGCGTTAGTTTATCTTTGATTTTACTGCTTTCACCAGTCTTGATTCTGTTGCAAACAGAGAATAACATATACAACAAAAAAAGTCTTTAAAACTATTTCATTAAAGCAAAAAAAATATTTCACAGAGATGATTTTTTTTTGCGTGAGAAAATGGATGTGAGAATACTGTCAATTGCGTGACTCCCACGCCAAATGCGTGAGAGTTGGCAGCTATGCTCAATATCCCTTAAAACACTGAAAATATAAGCAAGTTTGATTAATAATTAGATGCAATTGAATTAAATATATAAATTTGGTTTACTTAAGTATGTCTCCTGCGTTTAATAATGACTGTACAAGGCTTTTTAATGAAATGAACTCTCTTAAGAACATTTTTTTTAAGTGTCACCAGTAAAAATGTTAGAATTTCTATCATAAATTAATACTTGTTTTAATGAATTTATGTATTCTTCTGTTTGTTGTTTTTAATTGCATATTTATTAATGAAATGTTCTTGCCATAAAATAGCTTTTGTTGTTGACATGGCATTAAAGGTGCAGTATGTTAGTTTGACACCCAGTGGTTGAACTAGGTATTGCACCCCTGGTTTAAAACACATGCAAGCGCAAGTTGCCAGATTGATGACACCAACAAACGCTGATTTAAGCTTTGTCCTAAATAAAAGCAACAGCACACGACAGGAGGAATATTTTCTGTATTAAATGGAGTTTTTTTTTGTCCTAACCAACACCTGATATTTATATATTAGAAATGGCTTCTGCTTCAGGTAGCGTGTCGTTAGGACTTGAGGGTTACATGTAAGCCGCTTACCTAATGTTTACGCTCGTAATATTTATATTATTTGCTAATTAATAACCACCGCATGTGGAGCTCTGAATCTGCGTCTCATTTCAGAGTCTGCTACTGTCCACCAGAGGTCGCATT